GGTGGTTAGATGACTAGAGGGTCCAGTATTGCAAAAATAATTTTAACGGAGCAAGAGAACAAAGAGTTTGAGTTCCTTGAAACCCAAACAAAGACTTTTGTGTTGGGGTGCGAGCTTTCTCTCGGTGGCAGGTAACTACAGCCGCGAAAAGGGTCGCTTCGCTGCAGTAGTAGCTAAATAAATCGACGGTGGTGGATGGATATTGTTAAAATAAAGTTTTTAATAGTTCAATGTCCTAATTAAGAGCTTAATTTTTACGAAAGAACCTTACATCAGACAAATGTGCTTTATGGACTGATTTCACGTTTAAGTCCCTACCACGTGCAACACGTCTTGATCTTAAGCAAATTTCCCTATAGGGAAGTAGCTAGGTAAGACCTAGGCCCGGGACCGATTTACTTTCTCATTTTTATGTCCTCAGAGGCCAAAAACACCATTTGTTAAAATTTATATATACAGTATATACGTCCGTAAACGCAATAACTTGAGTAATTTTTGTCCGATTTTGATGAAATTTGGTTTAAAGGGGTAAGGCAGGATAAACTTGAATGAGTTTGCGAACCAGCATGATCAGACGAATGGAACGGGGTTTTACGGGGGCTTAAGGGGGCTTACTTAGGTTGGGTGTTTGTGTATTGTTAGTTGTAATGTGTCAGTTAAGTTTTTTCACCAGAGGACGGGATCAGATTCCAGATCCCAAAACGTTGTGTATTGTTTTTTTACAATCGTGATGGAAAATGTCCGCAATAAACCTTTGAATAACATTAACTCACCATCACCAACAATGAACTTTAAACAAAGTACTGTATTCTGTTTTGGTTATTTCAATAAGTTGGGGCGAAGCCCGAGGGTAACTAGTCTTTATAACAATCTCAATAACGGCTGAACATATTATAGCCAAACTTACCGAGGTTGTTTTGTCAAATGTTTGGATGGTTTGGACGTAACCAATTTCAACTTTTGATAATGCCTATATTATAATGCCAAAAAGAGTTGCGTTAAGCCCTAGTGATGACATATCTATGTATATAAATACGTGAAGCCATTTGTTGTTAAAAATACTACATGATAATTATCTAGTTTATATTTATGATTCAGGAGAGGCAAATAATATACGCTGTTCAAAAAGAGAAAATTGAAATTGCCATCCACGTTTTATAGCTACAAGAGTTATCCAACCTATTTCGAAAAATAAATCCATACTTTCAAAACGTCCCACTGAACAACGTGAGAGCGTTCTGATTCGTGGCACTGACAGACCTTTCACTGTTGTTGCTGCTTTAGCCTATTCAAAGCAGATTATGGCTGTCCAGTTGGTAGGCTAACCCAGAGTTTTTGGGAAAAAAGGAGCACATGAAATGGTTGATATCACCCCACTTTTCAGGATCCTCTGCGGAGAAAATTCGTTTGAGTAGGGGTATGTCTCAAATCAAAGAAATAAAATGATGAACTTAAACTACTTAACACAGGTTATCAGTAAGGCAGGTAAGGTTTTCTTAAGTTCTCGACGCTGGAAAAACTTTGTTGCAACATGTAACCTTGAATTGAAACAGATTGTTTAGCTTAGAAGTCGTCAGTTATAACTGAGAGCATAAATAATGTAAGTGAGCCTTGATAGAGATATTAAAAATTAGTTTCTAACAAGTTTTTAAAGATAAAACTAAAACTAAAACTACTCGTATTTAAGTGTAACGTTTTCCTCGGCGTTATGTTTCATACTATGCGGCTCATTGAGCCGCACGGGTTCTCTAATTACTAGATAATTAATGAAAATATAATGTCATTTAAAAAAATGCAACATAGCAGTGCATAAATAAAATATTATTAAAAGCAACAAAGATTAACAATCCATTGATAAAATGAATGGGAAAGGCGTTCCTGTCATCCCACAATACGGCAGAGTTTGCAAAAGGTATACTAGTTTTTGCAGGCGTTGTTTCGTATGGTACTCAGCCATAACTCGGGTAACTCGGGAGTGGATAATGAAATATATTCCAGCATTGAGGAATTAAGAGAAAGTGGAATTATTTATTAAATAAATATATGTTTCTAGATAAATTGTATCGTTTATATAATCCATATAATAAGCCTGCAGAACCCAGGGCTAGTACTGAACTTACTTTAAATTTAAAAGACGATAGTTGGAATTGTTTAAACCGTAAAATTGGTAATGTTAATGGAGAGTTTGTAGATGATGTATCAACTTTGGGGCGGACATTAACTAGAAAAGGTGATGTATTTTTACAAGGTAAAACTAAATATGAGTTTTAGAATCTATGAATAAAAATTGGAATGCTAAAAAACATAAAATTACTAAATTGGAAAAGGGTGAAGAACAGACTATAACTTATAATAAAAAACTATATTATTGGGATGCCAAAAAACAATTTATAAGAAATCTACCAGAGGGGGAACATTCGGATGATATTTGTCTAATGTCACAAGCTATGCATTATGATGGATCGAAATTTGTATATGGAGAAAAAAAAATTATTTGATGGAATACAATCCTGATTTATTAGTTGCTGACCCCACATCTTTGAGTGGATTTAAGTATATGGATAATAGACCATGTATACCAGAAAACTATGTATTTAAAAGAATGGAAGATAATCTATTGATTGGGGCTAATGGTGATATATTTAGAGTTAAAGGAAAGAATGATGTTATAAAAAATGAATGAAATTGCATACGAACTTCATAAGCCTGCAAGAAAGAATTTCATTGGAAGGTCTTTTAAAGTATTAGGTATAAATGAAACCATACAAATAGATTTAATTGATATGCAAAACTATGCTAGAGAAAATTCTGGCAATAAATATATTTTAACTTTAATAGATACATTTTCTAAAAAGGCTTATGCTGCTCCACTAAAGAATAAGACAGGGTTGGTGGTTACAGAAGCCATTAAAACCATTCTACCAAAGGGGGTTAAAAACATTCAATCTGACAATGGAAAAGAATTTTTTAATCAATATTTTAGCAAACTAATGAAAACATTAAATATTAATCACTATCACACATTTTCTACATCTAAGGCTGCAATTGTGGAGAGGTTTCAGAGAACTTTAAAGAGTTGGTTATATAGAGAATTTAGTACTCAGGGGAGTTATAAATGGTTGGATTTACTTCCAAAGTTAATTCGAAAATATAATAATAACGTGCCTAGGAATAATAGGAATGAAGCCTAACCAAGTGAGTATTAAGAATTGTAAATATGTGCATGAGAGGTTGACTTCTAAAGTAGTGCAAGTTAAAAACCCAAGATATAAGGTAGGTGATAGTGTGAGAATTTCCAAGTATAAACATGTATTTTGTAAAGGATATACCCCGAATTGGACAGGGGAGCTATTTACAATAGCAAAAAAAAGAATACAAAGCCTGTGACTTATATCTTGAAAGATGAAAATGGCAATATAATCAGGGGAGGATTCTATACAGAGGAGTTATTAAAGACAAAGTATAAAGACATGTATTTGATAGAAAAGGTAATTAGGAGAAAGGGTGATTTATTTTATGTCAAATGGATTGGGTTCCCAAGTAGCCAGAATTCATGGATTTCCACAAAAGATGTTGAGAAGCAAGCCTAAGTGAGCATGCCCGCAACCGGGAGCACGCCATGAGCCGAGTTCACATGCAAACCACACATGATTTTGTGAATGATAAGACAGAAATATAATATATCAAGTAACTCTACTGGCTTTAGGACTACTAAGGGCCGGTACACTCACACCGACTTTTGTCGTGCCCCTGTACGACTCAAGAAATCGTATATCTGCATGACAAGTAGAGAAACAAAGTAGGCAATGGAAGTCGCATGGGGGTGTACACACTAGTGCGACAGCAGTCGTGGAGGTGTCAAAGTCGTGGACGACAAATTTCGAGTCGCGCCCTACACCGACTGGGGGTCCGACAGGCAAGTCGTGTCGTATGGGCTCACGACTGTTTTGAGTCGTAGCGGTACATGGTGTTATACGGCTGTCGCGTCGGTTACACACTAGTGCGTCTACACCTACATAAATACTGTAGGTCAATAGTTTAGTTTTTCATTAGTTGTCTATTGTAGTCAATAATGAATAGTTTTCCTGAGCTTTCAGCGGAATTGTTTCCCTGTGTCATCTATCTTATGATATTGCGTTTTGTACGGTTTATTTCAAAGGTATTAAAAAAATCAAATAATCCTAATCTAGTATGTTAATAAAATTTGTAAAATGTAGAATACGGTCTATACGGTTTGCTAGATATTTAGGTATATTTTTTGTTTGTAATCGACAACGTTTGCAGATGATTATTTTCTCGAGACAAACAAACTAATGGAAACATTTAGTAGAATTTGTGTAACTATATTTCTGCTTACTTTTGTAATAAATCAATATGCATTCCAAAACTGTACAACGACCTCCCATCTGGCCTCAAAAAATATTCGTTATCATCATTTAGAGTTAAGATCAAAGAATTGTGCACTGATGGTTAATTATTGTTACTCATATTGTCTTGTTTCTGTTTTGTTATTGCTCTATTTATTTGTTGTTAGTTTTATATTGTTTTTGACGAAAGTTGTTCTGAGAAGCAGTATTTGTACTGAGAAACGCTTAATAAATAAAGGCATTTTTATTTATTTATTTTATTTATTTATGCAAAATAGGGGAGTTCCTAGCAACACAAATTAAATAATTTAACCAGTCTACATTGTAAATAAATTAAAATAATAAACGAAACGTACGTTCTAAGAGACTTCTTCAAGTATAAACACTTTTCAAACGAAACAAAAAAGTGTTAACTTTTTTTGTTCGTTTGAAAAAAATGTATACTAGTCAAAAATCAAAAGGATGACGTGCACACATTTTACTTTGTAAAACAAATCCAAGTTTTTTTTATTGATGGTTACAAAAAAGTTTAACTTTAAACTGAGCGCTATATGTTAGGCAGAGAGATTATACAGGCAATTATTGTAATTTTTCACCAACAAAATTTGACAGCTAAACTACGTACTGTACATCCAGAGATCCAAATGCATGTGCGCGAATAGTTCAACACATTTTCTAGCACTATGAAACTAATATTTGCTGTGCTTTTTGGATCCTTTCTGGTAAGATTTTATCCATGTCTACTCGTTTTTATTAGTTACCATATTAGCGAATTCCCCTACGGTTAAGTAGCTTTTACCATAGGTGACATAGTAAGACCCGGGACCGAACTATTTTTTTATTTTGATGTCCGAAGCGGCCAAGAAATCTATTCGTTCAAATAATATATATATTTATATATATATATATATCTTTATATATGAAGGTAGTATAACCAACTGAAAACCCTGAAACGAAAATATTTTTTCATGACGTGACATTTCTCGGACTAAGTCCATTTTCAAACTTCAAATACTTAGCTTTGATTAAATTATTGGTTTTGTGTAAATATAATTTGAAATTAACGTATACTTTTTTAACGAGAACGGTTTTAGATATTTGTTAACTATTGATTATCTTATTGCGAAATTTGGTCTATAATGGAATGTCTTCAATGAATTATGTTGTTGGAAGTTTGATTCGGGTGTTTCTGGTTTTCTTTATATCAGGTATTCTTTTCCTTTGTTTAGAATTTTCTATTTTGTATGTTATTAGTTTAATTTGTATAATCATGATTAGTTTAGCGGTGCGAAGCGAAGCTTTTTGGGGTCAACTTTATAAGACTTATTCTTATTAACGAACATATTTTAGCCAAACTTGCAAAGGTTGTTTTGTCAAATGTTTGGATGGTTTAGACGTAACCAATTTCAGTTTTTGATAATGACTATATAATTTTAAAGAAACTCAAAGTTTTTAATTTTTAACATTGGTCTTATGGGTTGCCACGATGGTTACAAAATAACGACCTAAATGAAAACAAAACAAACAATCATAGCATATGTTAAAATCAAGTCACAACCTAAACACAGTACAAAGGGAAAAAATCGGATGATGACAACTGATCAAATGCCACAGGGAAAGTCTTAGGTTTGCATTTAGGTCCCAATTTGGAAACGACCACTGATCAAATAGTATAGGTACAGTCATACTTTCTTAGGTACAGTATTTAACAGATTTGATTGACGTAGCTAAACAAGGTTATAACAAAAAACATCTTATCTTAAACAATTAGTCGGCGAATCACATTAATGGAATCATCTCATAAATGGCAAACTTAAACAGGTCCACGACGTAGGAAGTGGTGAAGGAAGTAGTAAAGGCTGGTAATGCGGAGTGTGGGAACCGTTTGTGGCAGTTACTATAATGTATCTGCAATACTAAAATATTATGGGAAGGGAGGGAAACAGGTCGAAGACGTAGGAAGTGGTGAAGGAAGTAGTAAAGGCTGGTAATGCGGAGTGTGGGAACCGTTTGTGGCAGTTACTATAATGTATCTGCAATACTAAAATATTATGGGAAGGGAGGGAAACAGGTCGAAGACGTAGGAAGTGGTGAAGGAAGTAGTAAAGGCTTGAAGTGTAGAGTGTGGGAATGCTTTGGGGCAGTTAAATTAATGTATCTAAAGTATTAAAATGCTATGGGAAGGGAGGGAAACGACATAGGAAGTGGTGAATGAAGTAGTAAAGGCTAGCAGTGCAGAGTGAGGGAACATTTTGTATTATGTATTATATCTATAAATATTTTTTTTTCATTTATTGCTTTATTAAAAACCATGAAACATGATTGGCCCGCTCAACTGGCTTCCATTGCTATGACAGCAATCCCAGTTAATAAGACATGTTTGGCTAAATTTGATCGCATGGATGTTCGATTGTTATTTTTGGGGCCTTGAATTTATTCTTTGAATCTAGATCGAAACGAACGTCCTGTCTAACCAATGTTATTGTTTACAGCTAGAACAATTAATTTTGTAAATGCCAGATTTTTCGTATATTACTTGATGTTCATTATCCTTGGTTATTTTATTGGTAATATATTGATAGTGTTGAATGTTTTTATGTTTTGTAACCAATTAATTTTGTATTAGGAATTTTTTATGTTGGTACTGTTCTGTTAGGTGTATTTTTGAATGGGATACTAATATTTTTTTTTATTTAATGTTTGTGCTTTTGATTTTGATATTTCTTTCTTGTGATCTTTCTAAATATATTGCAGATGGCCCCTTGTTACTATCCATTCTTTGATGCTATGTATTTAATTTTGTTCAATTCTATATTAGATTTGAATATCAATGAATGGATATACTATAATAAAAAATGAAAATTTTAAACTGGGACTACACGTGTGTATCGTGTTTCGTATTCAAATGTAATGAGTTTAAGATTAACTAAGCCTGTTAGTAACTGATATTAAATTTCCCTAATTAATTCAAATAACAATAATAATAAAAATATATAATTTTGCATAAATCCTATTCTACGTCACTTCACAATAAATGACCACGTATGATAACTGTTGTTTTTACTAAGTTTTAAAGTCTTCAACTGTTAAGTAACTATAATAGTTGTGGTCGTTAGTGTATGATTGTAGCGGGGAGCGAGCTGGTCTAGTGGAGGAGCGCGGGGCTTCGGTGCCCGAGGTCACGGGTTCGCACCCCGGCAATCACCAATGGATCTATGTGATAACGCCGCAGCCCTCTAGGAATAGCCTGAAGTAATGTGTAATCATGGGCTAGAACTACCTAGAATGTGAGGTTGGGACAAAAACGTGTCTGATTGCAGCTGCTATAATTTGCGTTTTTAAGATTGATCACGAAGCTATTTAAAAATCCATTTTCACAAATGTTGTAATCCATGGGTGATAAATTTCTGTTGCGTGTTTTTCGGAATCATTTGTAAATCTTTTTAGTAGTCCTTAATATTTGCGATGAATTGGTTTGTTAATTAGTATGTGAATCTTGTGGGGTTTAATAGGAACAAAGCCCCGTGTGTTTTTATTCGAACAAAGTTGGCGTGTTCACATGGTTCAATACACACAGCTTTTTAAATAATAGTGTCTTAGTTGATATTGTGTTTTTTAATGCGATAGGCTTATTTGAGAAAAAAATAAATTTTTAATATTAGCTTTCATTAAAAAAGATATGAGTTAGTTTGAATAAAAAAAAATATACACGTTGACATATCATCCATACACCGGTCCCCTTGTGGGTTTTATGATGTGTTTAAAATGCTGCTATGTAGAAAATAGTTCAATGTTGTCAAGATCAACAAAAATCACTAGGAAGCACAACGATTTTAGCCAAAACTCAGCAGCTTAATCTTTGTCTTCGGTCACTTTCCTATTGATTATACAAATTATTAACGTTTAATACATGGGCTATGGTTTACATGCTGGATATGTACCTATATGATGATGTAACTTTGTAATTTTTTTTCTTTTAAAATGTTCACATTCATTGAAATCAAAATAAAGTCAAATTAGAATTCATTTAAGTCAATCTATAAATGTTATATTAAAAAAAAACATGTTACATCGTTAATTAACTGAGTGTATTAAGATAGTTGGATATTTAGTTATGTGTTTAGTAGTATGAAGGTCTCAGATTTAAGAGAATGCTTTAAATTTCGTATTTTCACTTATATTATCACCATCACCTGAAAATCTCTTATGTTATCAGTAGCCAAAATGGTATAATCCGAAACTGTTAGGGTTGATTTCTAGGTTATCACTAGCTGGAACTGAACCGCCCAGTTTGAGAAAAGTTAATGACCAACCTTGATGTTTTAAGCTTAAAATGTAGGCTAAATGCAGGTCTCCGGAAAGATCTGAAATTATCTCTGGGTTTTAACTCCCTTCACTGCAAAACAATGTTTAGCCAATCTAATTACCCTATTATTTATCTATACACAAATTATGTCTTCACTTAAAACTGTTGGTAAAAATAATTATGAAGCTCGATGGACAAGGTCAATGACAATATAATATGAACCCTGATGACTCCACTCAAATTTATGGATGCTTTTGCGAACGCTACCTAGGTAAATGTCAAACTAAATGGGATTCTCCTGTTGCAGATTCATCAGAGCTTAGCTGCTTTTGGCTCCTGGCTTTTTGCGGAGGACAAAACAAAAGGCCATGGTAAAACCGATATTCATTTTATCAATATTCATTTATTTAGACGGTTATTTTAATGCTTAGGAAACAACCTGTATGTGTGACAGAGCACACCTGTGTGTTTGTTTGCTTAGGTCAAGTACAATTCTGCTCAAACTTAAAACCTCTGGAAACTTTAAAACTTGGAATATTCGAATCTATGTATCGATGACGTAGAGGGATCCCAACAACATATTTGCTTGTAATTAACGAATTTGTCTATCATTATAGTACTGCAAATAGTCATAGTATTTACTGCAACCCAGGGTGGGTACTCAGTGTGAAAATTGTTTTGTAAGTACAAAGTAAATGAAGTGTGATTATGCATATAAGAGGTTCCAAGTCTAATAATTAGCTTCCCAAAGAATTATTTTATGTCTTTCAAAATTCACTATGTTTTTAAATTTAATACAACAATTTTTCAACTACCTGTATCCGGATTTTAGTAGATAATTTCATTTTTGTGTTCTACATAAAATTTTGAATAAGAATAATAGAAAATGACGGAGGATCAGTAGTAAAAACTCCATTGTAAGTAGATTCAAAGATAAAATTAAAAAAAAAACATTGGTCTATTGAATTTTTCTACACCCTGTATACAAAAGGGGGCCAAATATGTTAAAAACTGCACCACTTTATAAGCTTTCCAACCATATGCTACACTATTGAGGTTTAGATATGCTTTTGTTTGTTTTATTGGTTTGAATACCAGAAAACAGGGAACTGTTTTACTGTTTTTACAGTTCAAGCTGAAACAAAAATAAAATGTTTATGCCGACTTTCTATGTTTTAAATGTAAAAGACGCCATATTTGTAGTCTTCAAACCACTAAAGCGTACATAAGCAGATATAAAGTTCAATGGTGTAGCATATGGTTGGAAAGTGTATAAAATGGCGCAGTTTTTAACATATTTGGCCACCTTCGTGTATACAGGGTGTAGAAAAATGCAATAGACCAATGTTTTATTTATTATTTATATCAAACATCTTAATTTTTATCTATGAATATATTTACAATGGAGTTTTTACTACTGATCCTCCATCGTTTTATATTATTCTTATTCAAAATTTAATGTAGAACACAAAAATGACATCTTCCACTCAAATCCATTTACAGGTAATTAAGAAATTGCTGTATTAAGTTAAAAACACAATTATTTTTAAAAAGATTTAAAATAATTCTTCACACTTAATTTACTTAATTAACACTGAGTACCAATCACCCTGTATGTTATTTTTCTTGATAATAATTAATGTCATTTTACTACATTGTATACTTTAAATTTCTAGATTAGGCTCAAAAATAATATTTAACTTGAGCTATCGCTCTAATATAAATTAAATTACAACAAAAGTTGCTGCTGGAAACTGTGATAGTTGATTCATTTCCATTTTCAGATGGATCAACTGACACTGGTCTTACTGTTTATTTTATAAATTAGTTAATTTTTTTAAATAATAGAACTACACGAAATCATGTTTACAGTTTTTATATTTTCTTAGTAGGTCAACACAGCCTATATAACCTATATCGTTCTTTTCTTTTAGAAATAACTTGATGGCTCACGTATCATATATATTATGGTTTTACTAACAGATAATTAGGATTTTTTACCCCCTCCTGGTTGTTTGTCGTAACAATGTAAAAACTAGCACAGTTAGATACTGCTATTCATTTTTTATACAGAAGATTATTTTCTTTTTCAGTTATGGTCCTTCCTATGAAAAATCCGAGGTTCTTTGCTTTGGCTCAATACTTGCCAAAGTTCATCAACCCAGAGAATAATCTAAGGGATCATGTAACAAAATACGAAATACCATTCGGACCAGACAAAAGCATGCTTGTTAAATGCATGCAAGGTGATAATGAAGTCAAAGCGTATGTATACAGCGCAGAAGGATACGTCATAGATGTATTGACGCTACAAAGCAGTAAACTTTCTTGCCAACAAGTGAAGGAAAACATTAATTCGGAAAATTTTTAATATTATACGCAGGCAAGCAATTACAAGGTGTTATCATTCAGCATTATGTACAATTTCCATTGGGCGGGAACAGTAATTCAGTGTTTCAAGAGACGATACACGATGGCCACTTTTCTACACTCACCGTCCAAACCATCTATTCATTCTATACCTTATTCGAAATTGGAGAGGGAAGATGTAGAAATGGCAGATTGCAAGGGAACTTTTATTGTAAGTTTCAAATAATAATAAATGTGACAAAATAAGGTTTAACAACAAAATGTGGTCTAATTAAGGCTATATAGTATAGATATAGCTATATAGCAAGTATGGCTGTATATTTATATTTAGATTAATCTTGTATTTCAAGAACTCCATGAGGCTTTAACTCATGTGCATTTTTATTTCCAGTCTAAAAATTAACCTTTGCTAACTTATAATAGCTAACTATATGTAACCACATTTTACAATTTTAAAATAATTCTGTGACCTCGTGCTCCATACAATTTGTTTAATTAAGATGAAAAATTTTCATTAAATAACAGTAACTTTTGATCAAAAACTGAGTAGAAAGAGTGGAATATGTAAAAGAGTCAGTACTTCAATTGCGACAATTTGGCCCACACTAATCCGGGTCTTTTAGAGTGGACCAACCACCAGTATTTTGATTGCAACGATTAGACCTACACTAATCCGGGTCTTTTAGAGTGGACCAACCACCAGTAGTTCAATTGCGAAAATTTGACCTACACTAATCCGGGTCTCTTAGAGTGGACCAACCACCAGTAGTTCAATTGCGACAATTTTACCTACACTAATCTGGGTCTTTTAGAGTGGACCAACCACTAGTAGTTCAATTGCGACAATTTGACCTACACTAATCTGGGTCTTTTAGAGTGGACCAACCACTAGTAGTTCAATTGCGACAATTTGACCTACACTAATCTGGGTCTCTTAGAGTGGACCAACCACCAGTAGTTCAATTGCGACAATTTGACCTACACTAATCCGGGTCTCTTAGAGTGGACCAACCACTAGTAGTTCAATTGCGACAATTTGACCTACACTAATCAGGGTCTTTTAGAGTGGACCAACCACCAGTAGTTCAATTGCGACAATTTGACCTACACTAATCTGGGTCTTTTAGAGTGGACCAACCACCAGTAGTTCAATTGCGACAATTTGACTTACACTAATCTGGGTCTTTTAGAGTGGACCAACCACTAGTAGTTCAATTGCGACAATTTGACCTACACTAATCTGGGTCTTTTAGAGTGGACCAACCACTAGTAGTTCAATTGCGACAATTTGACCCAATTGCGAAAATTTGACCTACACTAATCCGGGTCTCTTAGAGTGGACCAACCACCAGTAGTTCAATTGCGACAATTTGACCTACACTAATCCAGGTCTCTTAGAGTGGACCAACCACTAGTAGTTCAATTGCGACAATTTGACCTACACTAATCCGGGTCTCTTAGAGTGGACCAACCACCAGTAGTTCAATTGCGACGATTTGACCTACACTAATCTGGGTCTCTTAGAGTGGACCAACCACTAGTAGTTCAATTGCGACAATTTGACCTACACTAATCTGGGTCTTTTAGAGTGGACCAACCACCAGTAGTTCAATTGCAAAAATTTGACCTACACTAATGCGGGTCTCTTAGAGTGGACCAACCACCAGTAGTTCAATTGCGACAATTTGACCTACACTAATCCGGGTCTCTTTACTTGTTTTTCTATTCAAGGGCATTGTGAACCCAGTATGCGTGCTTTCAACCATGTAAAGCCAGCAACCTTTTATGCAAAAGTGCCAATTTCTATTCAGACAAAGCCACGCACTACTTTAGCTGTGGAATTTTGAATATAATTGCTACAAAATACACAATAATAGGTATAAATTAATTTAACAGGCCATATTGTGTACATTTTCAACAGAAAGTTGAGTGTGGACTATTACTTTTTTTTTACTACATATTTATCAAACCTTCGTCAGGAAATAGTCGCAATCGAACGACCTACTTAAAAAGCCAAACAGATTCGTGGTCGCAATTGAACCTTAGGGTCATTAATATCGCTAAACAGCCTTCATTAAAGAAGAGTTGGGTCAAGAAATTTACTTTTATAATATTTATCTTTAGGTAACTCCATATAACAGACTCTCGTGTTTTTCAAACAAATTATGATGTATCACAGTAGCCTACCTCAATCGATATAGTAGTTAAATATCAATACTACTCTTACCGAAAATTGTTATTCATGTTTTACTTTTTTCAGGATACTGATGCTTCTAGAGGTATGTATTTAGAATCATAATTATAATACCTCTAGCCAAACTATGATTTTGTCTAAAACTCTTGTTAGAACATAATTGAGTTATGCTGTGCGCTATAGTTTTATTTATCATACGAGCTATTAGCTCGTCCTACGTACGGGAATCTAGTAGTCAGTTTAAACAGTGTATAATTCAGAACACCTAGTTTACACCTATAAAGGCCCATTTTCTGATAGTTTTAATGTGAAAAATCATCTTGTAATCAATTTCGACTACAGACCAACACACAATAAAACAGAAATTGAGTCGATGTGAAAAGCCTTGAAGTAAAATTTGCGGCCGATTCACACACTGATTATAAGTACAGTAGAGAGGTTATAGTCAATTGAGAAGTGTATAGTCAATGATATCACCTACAAACTATCAACTACAGTGCTTTACTTCCGTGGCCACTGAAACCTTAAGAGGTTTCTGCCCTCCGCCTCTTCTTTAATTAATATCAATAAAATACAATTACTCATACTATACCACAATATCAAGTAAGAAAAAATTTTAAAAAATACCAATAATATAACGATAGTATCTAGGCCTACTTTGTCAACATTCCCCGTCCACATACTACAGATTTGGTGTCCTGACATCAATTAAGAAATCGTCCATACCTATAATAATAATAATGTCTTTATTACTTTTTGACAATTATACATTGTATAGCAAATGTCAATCAATACAAAAATTTCAATAAATAAGATAAAGTAAAATTTGTAGCTGTGTAAACTAAGATCGGAAATTGGGTAGGTATTTATTTATAAAATCTATATATATATATATATTATGTTATGTAAAAACAGTAAATGAATAAACTATTAATTAATAACAATATATAGACTCCTATCAAAAGTAATAACAGCGATTATTTTAATAAACAATGACTAAAATCTAACTAAATCCCTGGGGAAGAAAATTGTGTAATCAATTCAACTCCAACAGTATTTAGTGAACTCATCCACCCCGTATAACACAAGATTCGTCAACTCTCTCTTCAGTCTTGTTTTGAACAAATGAGAACTCTCTAGGCTTTTTAGTCTCTCATCAACCTATCCTTCCTATCAATTTCACAGCATCATTTGCTAAATAATTGTTATAACGATAGGAAATGTTTGAAATAAATGTAATAAATTATAACATTAATAATTAGTCATTATCTATTCTATAACATTTACTAATAAATTTTCTGTTTTTAGCATACTTATTGTTAAGAGGAACTTACGAAATCATGGATTTTATGAAAAATGGTGACACTCTCGGTAAATCTGTTATTGAAACTTCTTTTAAGACTGAAGCAAACCTGAAGCTCAGGTGCCAAACAGACACGGACGTCCCAGCCAAAGATTCCGCCATGGCAGAAGGATTTATTATGTATGAAGACATAATCTTGGACAAGTTATATCTAGATTCTTGTACGGCTGGAGTTGAAGGAATATACATCAACGTAATGAATGAAAAAGATACAAAAGCCATACGACGGATTTTTACTTGTGTTTAAAACAAAAGATGGCAAATGTTTTAATAGGTACATTAATTTGGGCTTTTATTTTGTTGATAATCGGCGAGAGGAAGAGAAAGTTCGAATTAGTCGACACGAGCCTGATATAGTCAAGTGTCCAACGGATTGGACTAACGACGCCGCCTTAAAAGTGGGAGCACCTTGGTACAAGAGAAACCCCAAGTTCCGTTACCAAAAATGACTCATCAGAAGAAGATGAATCAACCAAATAAAAAAATTTTACTCAATTTTGGCTTATTTTCAACCCTAAGGCCACAAATGGGTAAAGTTCCGCAGAGAACCTACAACATATCGGATGAAAGATTAGTTCAATATTAATATTGACTCAGATGTAATTTTCACGCCCCCTAAAATATCGAATGTGTGTTTTTCAAGCAGACTTTTTAACAATGTGCTGCGTTGGTTAGGTTTGGTTAGTTAAAACCAGGTTTACTTAGTTCTTACTATGATAATAATAAACTTTATAATAGTAGTTTACGCAACGATCGCGTAAAGATAGTGTTATCGACACGAGTAGGAAATTTAATGTAAGAGCCTTGGAGAGTGCCTTAAAAACTTCTACGAGTCTCGTTAAAACTATTTACGCGAGTTACGTTACTAATTTACCTACCTTACGTACGACAGTGTTTTAACAACTAAAAACCACTACTCATAACTTCTTAGAGAGGTTATGGTTTCGTTTATAACCTCTCATTGCCAATGGCATTGATGCAACGAAACATTGTACTAAACACTAATTGCACCACTCAACAATTAAATTGACCTAACAGCTGATTAGTTGAAGCTCAAATCATTACAATTTTACAGCTTCTCTCTCAATCCTTACTTAATTACTCACTCCTTCTTCATCTTTTACTCAAAACAGTGGTAGATTGCGTCATGACAGAAAAATTAAAACATGTTAAAAAAACATAATTAAAAAAAATGTTGTAATTTATTTTATTAAGCTCAACAATTAAAATTAAAATTTTGGGTTAAAATGCTCAATATGTTCCTATGCAATATTATTTTACCTTTTAAAATCCATGTAATATTTTCATAAAATCTGCTAACACGAACTTAAACAAACTGAATCATGTTAAGGACCATTTTTTTCATAGCACTAGTGTCACTACTCCTCGTAGCCTATATTACCTTACCAAAACATGTCCACCATGTGTAATGTGTTTATGAATCCATTTTTGCTCTACTATTTTCCCCTTTTCCCCACACATCGTTATTTTATTTCGATGAATTCCCTTGACCTAGTTTACCAACTGGATTAACCAAACGAGATCAGGGCTGTGGATTTAGAAGAGGTCGCTTTGCCTTTGATGTCCGCTCGCTTTTAATTCCGCCCCTCAGCCTTCCACTTGTGATCACACATACACTTTTTGAAAACGTTTCCAAGGCATGAAAAAATAAAGAACAAATCTTCAAGTAATCTGTCAAAAGCTCATACTGTATAGTTGCCATAGAGCTTAATTTCCATTGCCATTGTTTTAAAGAACGCTTTTCATTATTCTCACAATATCAGTTTTCTTTTTATATTGTAGTTTTTTCGTACGATTGTTTAATACTTATGAAGAATTGACACAAAAGGTAAGATTGCATTTTGATAGCAGCTAAAATTTTGATGATTTTTGTGTATATACACGCATTAAAGACAGAAAATAAAAATATAAAAAAGGTTTATTTGATTTACTATTTGAAATATTATAATTTTTTTGTATTTCTAAAAATTTCGTAAAAGATTTTGTTTATTATTATTGTATAATCGTTTTGATAATTTATACTTTTTTTATGTAATAGCCAGTCTATTGTAATTATAATAAATTTTGCATGAAGATAAATAATAATATGTAAACTCTATGAATGCCTATTTGCATACATAATATCATAATTTCATGAAAATAAGCATAAACATAAATTATTGCATATATCACGTAGCAGAATTATCAAATTTATCATATTACTGTACCCTATATTATAAGTACTGTATTAAAGTTTATGAATCATACTAAAAATTAAACTTATTTATGACCAATTGTTACTTGTATTTAAAAATACACCTCACAAATTAATTATATTTTCAAGATAAATAGGGTACTTGCTCGTATATATAATTGGATTTCCACATGTAGGGTTTTGCACAACACTCTTGGATTCAATTAATCACATTTTGACTCGTGAGATATCAATGGTACCTCTAGGAAATGAATTTGCGTTTAAAATATCTTATATCATTTTAACCCTATGATACTTTTATGCTTATTTGATTCATATCAAATGTTGTAGCCAAGAACATTAGTTTGGTTAAGTTTCGGATAATTTCAAATTAATTCTACCACTTCTACTACCATATACTAACTATTGATACTGCCTAATAATGAGAGCGTATGGTCTAGTGGTAGAATACAAAGCTTTGGCCCTTAATGTCCCGGGTTCAAATACTGTCAATAATAAATCTATTTAACTTTGTGATACAATTAAGTCATATAATTTAAGTTAAGTGTAACAAAGTTTCGGGCAACTGCCTTAAGTCCTAAAACATATAAGAAGAAACGAAACTATATAAAGCTACCTGATGGATTATAATACAACACCACTAGTACTACTAAATATATTATAAATACGAATTTAATTATATTACGATCAAAACCTCGTTGGTTATCAAAAGTTTTGGTGGTGTAATAAATAGAAACTAGATATAAATAGAACGAATGCATCTTTTAATACGATAGATCAGTAGCATACCACGAAGTCGGCTCTGATTTTGGTGCAGAAGTACCTGACTTAACCCTGTTATTTTAACAAATTCTTATTGGGATCAAGCCATTTTGCTTTTTTGGACATTATACCAATATTTTTTAGTTTGACACTAATACATTCAATTTCTTAATTTCCCTCCCAACAAAGGTTGCACTACGAACAAATCCATATTGAGAATACAAAAAAGTAACTATCTTTCAGACCAACACAACATAGGTAAAAGATATTCCATTCAACTAAAATATTTTGCAGTAAAACAGTCATTCAACAAAAATAGTCAACATTATCAGTATTTTTCAAATTTTTAAAATCTGTAAGAATTAACACTAGTTTATTGTGTGATATTACTTGCTAGTGATGGAAGATTTTTTAGATGTATAGCTACCATTATATGATACTGTCATCATTTAACAAAAATATAAGTATACTAGTGATGGTCACAAAAGCCACACAAGTGTGTTGTTTACAGAAAGTGAAACAACAGTCAACCCCAGACTCCGGATATTACTACTATATCCTGAAACTCCTATCAGGATAAACTTAAGCTATATCCAGAGTACTTGTACTTTTATAAATGTTTACTTGTTAAACTATCAATAAATTTCGAAAATATTGACCATTTAGCACTTTATTTAAAAAAATAAAACCATCATGCCCTTGAAACACGATAAAAGAAAATATTGTTTCCCTGAATTCATAAAATCTACATTGATTCCTTAAAATTAAATTTACGGATATAGGTATATCTCCAGAATCCTTCTACTAGGTACTAAAAGGAGTTTGTTTTGCTGAAGATATGAAAGCCAATAATAAAAACCGGGTTTTTTTGTCACAAGGAACTTGTTTCATTTAACATACGGTGAATGACAATGGCGTACCAAAAAGGGTTAGTAAACTATAAAAGGATCAATCATTTAAATTTTTTATTTTCCCCGAATAACATATATAGCCAAGCTTAGAATACAACCGGATTATTGTATAAATTTTAATTCGTGATTTTAAAGTATCCAGGATAACATAGAGGGGTAATTTACATTTAAATGTTTTCCAAAACGTTCATTGAAAACAAAACACAAAAAGAAACCGATAACGGTTAAGCCAATCTTTTCTTTGTTTCAAACCACGTTATCGCTTAAAGCTGGCTTAGCTTGGTTGAATTAAAAGATTTCCCATTTTATAAACCGTTTATATCTTTTTTTACGATGTGAAAACTTAATTTTTTGCAAAACCATTTCGGTCCGTGGTACGAACGCTATTTTACACCACACTTTACCATATTACCACTATTCACAACAATAATAATGTACACTAACAGTCAACACAACTACAACTTTAAGGTTATCTAAAGAATAATAATATGAGGAATCAGCCAAAATAATTATTAATAGTTGCTAGGCAGTGGTGACAATAAAACAATTACATTGCAATGCTATGGATACTGATTGTGTATTTAATATGCAATCATGTTTAAAGAAAGTAAGCGGGCAGCTAATTTTGCGGCCCTAGGGATGTAAAACCCTGCTCTGTCCCCAAATGACGATGACAGCTGGCATGGCCAGCAAAACATAGCTTTCAGCCACCAATTAACGTATGTAAAACCGCTAAAAACATCATAAAGTGGTGAAATAATTGTTTATGTGAACTTCAGAATGTATAGACGTCCACCAATTTTCTATAAACAAATCTATCCGTTTTTGTTTAATTTGGTAGTAAATGTTTATGTGAACTAGACGTGGTGCATTTTGAGCAGACGGAAAACTCATTCATTGTGAGTGCAAGTGTACTTTTACCACTGGATGTGTGATTAAATTCCCGGTTTTGTTTTTCTCAGGAAAAAACGTCATTGTGCTTTTGAGAAAACCTGTACATCTTAGTTGGAAATTCAATGGCATTACACTGTTGCAAATAAATTTTCTATAACTACATTTTTATTCGCAATGGTTCAAGAAAGAGAATCGACTTTGTTCACAGTCAACCGTCACCACCAGACTTGCTCATTACATCTTCGTTGGAAAGCTTATAAAATGGCGCAGTTTTTAGCATATTCCGACACTTTCTTGTATACAGGGTGTGAAAAATGCAATAGACCATTGTTTTTAAAATGTTTATCAAACATCTTAATTTTTATCTTTGAATCTATTTACAATGGAGTTTTTACAACTGATCCTCCGTCATTTTCTTTTATTCTTGTTCAAAATTTAATGTAGAAAACGAAAATTATATTATCTACTCAAATCCATATACAGGTAATTGAGAAATCGCTGTATTAAGTTTAAAAACATGGTTATTTTAAAAAAAACATAAAATAATTTTTTGGGAAGCTAATTTTTAGACTTGGAACATTTGATATGCATCATCACACTTCATTTACTTTGTACTTACACCAAAAAATTTTTGTCACACTGAGTACAAATCACCCTGTATTTACAAAATAAAATTGACCTAAGATAGTAACCACAGTTGTTCGACCATTTCT